CTCGCCAACGCCATTGCGGGCGGGCGGGCCCCTACGCCCTGGCACACTCGGGCGGGCCTGGGGCCGCGGGGTCCCGGCCCGGGAAGGGGCTTCGCCCACGTGCGGCCAACCCGCGCCGGGCCGTGTGGCTGAGCGGGGAGTCAGGGTGTGATGGGGGGGAGGCCTCGGGGGTGAGGAAGGCCTGGGTAACAGGTGCCTCACCTCGGCTGATGGGATTAACTGTAGGGCCGCAGAGAGAGAGAGAGGGAGGGAGAGAGAGAGAGAGAGCCGGGCAGCAAAATCCCAGGAGAGGGAGAGAGAGGGAGCCTCTGGCGGCCAACCGAGGGCGAAAAGCACCGGCCCGAGGCGAGGCCGCCCCACCCCCTCGGCGGTGGGCGACGGGCCTCCCCGGCCTGGAGCAAGGCCTGCCCTGCTGGGGCCTGACCTGCTTTCTGCTTGGGTGTTGACTCAGCGGGAACAGGGGTCTTGGCCTCCCAGCTGCTGGAGCACCTCAAAATCTGCAGTTCACGCCATGACCCCAGAGCATCTAAACCCCCCGGGGCCATTCTCCTGGCCCGGAAGGCCTACACCTAGGCCCAGATCGCAGGTCCCAGACCCCGCGTGGCCTCCACCAATGCCGCTGCGCTCCACCCAACACCCACCTCCACCTTAAGGCTCCACGGCTAACAGGAAAGGGATGAGGAGGGTTTTAGACATTCTCGTCAGAAGATGATTTTCAGACCCCCAATTTTATAAAAGCTCAGTACCTCCGCCTTTCTCCTCCCTTCCTACCCCCCCCCAAAAAAAATATATACTGGAAGTGTAACAGCCTTACTGCAAAATATAAAACTGATCATGACCGTCAATATACACCTTTAAATCAATCCTCCTAAAAACTCTATGGAGTAAAAACTCAAAAGGATAATTTTTCAAGAAGGTGAAAAACATGACTCATAGAAATACAAAGATGTGTTAAAAATGTTATTTGATTCACTAATTAGGGAGATATTGCAACACATTCGAATGAGAATGTGAAAAACAGACCTTTATGAAGAACCAGGATAAAGGCAAAACTGGTTAATATTGTACCAGGCACTAAAATGTAATGTTTTGAATTATCTGTTCTACAGGCAGTAACAATTCTGTCTCTAGGGAACAAAATAATTTCACATTTCCGTAGATACGAACCATTTACATTACCATAAATTTCTACAGCTTGTAGATTAGCAAAATAGCCTAGAAAAAAGGCTGTCCAAAGGTACAGAAAACTGAAAAACCACCAAGCTCCACCGTGCTGTAGATAACATCCAGCATTCCATTGAAAGGACAACCAGTAATCTTTAGCCCATTTCAAAGTCTTACACAAGTTTCTCCAACAGAACTATTATTTATCTGTATCTTACAGATAGGAAAACTGAGGTTTAAGTTTTGCAACTTAACCCACAGCTTTATCAGCTAGTCAATGATTATGGCTGGATAGGAACTCTGGCAAGTCTATACACAGAATCTGTCCTCTGGGAGGAAACTTTTTTTCTAGCTTAATTCCAAAGGGGCTTTGTAGCTACTCAATTCTATGTATCTTTTATTTTGAACAGTGAAATTTTTTTCTTCAAGTCTCACCAAATTCTGGGTGCTTTCCCAAGAAATTGGTATTCTCTGTCTGCAAAGTAGATGTCACTTCTATAAGCATAAACAGATGTAACAGGCAATGTGAGGGGGCTGTGGTTCCAGTCTCCATTTTTGGAAAGAACATTTGTGCTGTCTGGGATAATTTAGTGGAAAAGTTCCTGTCATTTATTTGTAGTGTGGAAACCATGTTTTTTTTTTTTTTTAGGAGAATAACCTAAATAAATACAGGAATCTAATCACTGAGTCCTGTCTGTAGAAGAGGGGAGCAGAGTTGGCAATAAAATCAGTCTTACACCTCTTTGCAAAAAGATGATTCATACATAAAAGCAGCCTGAAGAATTTGGTTGGTTTGCATTTCAATTTTTGAAATTTGAAACTTCTGGAAAAAGTCATACTGAAGGAATTAATGATAGAGTTTTTAAAATATAACGCTGATAATTTAAGATTCCTGGATTGCCCATAATCTGCTTTCCACTTCTAACACTGATCTGAATGTTTGAAGGCTCTACAAGGCCAGTACTACTCCCATACATATGGCTATTTAACTTCAAATTAAAATTAAATACAATTAAAAATTCAGTTCCTTAGTCCCACTAGCCACAGTTGAGGGACTCATTAGCTACATGTGGCTAGTGGCTCCCTATTGGCCAGTGTAGTACAGAACATTTCCATCACAGGAATTTCTACTGGACAATGCTGTCCTAGACATTTGCACTTCTATAAATTAGGACAGGTACCATATTCCCCCATGTATAAGACACACCCTTTTTCAAAAAATCTGGGGTCTAAAAACTGGGTGTGTCTTATACAGTGGTTGTAGATTTTTTTTTACTTGCATTTCCCTCTGAGGACGAGGCAATATATGAAGACAGTGGTTTGTCATCAGACACAGATGAGGACAAGCTAATGGTTGGGAGTTTTGACAGTGATGAGGAATTGTATACATTTCATGATAAATAAAACTTGAGTTCAATAACTTTATGTAATACTTTTTTTTTCAGATTTCGGGCCCCAAAAGTAAGGTGTGTCTTATACATGGGGAAATACGGTATATTGACTTTATAAGAGCTAAAACTTAGTTCAGGGGCGGCTGGTTAGGTCAGGTGGTTAGAGCGCAGGCTCACACACCAAGGTTGCCGGTTCGATTCCCACATGGACCATGGAGCTGCGCCCTCCACAACTAGTCTGAATGAAATCAGAAGTTTTACATGTTCCAATTGTAAAGGGCAAGAGCAGTGTTAGGCGTGAAAGGTAAAGTTTAGGACTGACCTGCAAGGCATCCAAAATGCAATGTACTTGGGGAAGGGGGTCGATTTTCACATACGATGTCTTTCATAAATTACATAGAATATTGTGGGCTGTTATTCTGATTTCCTTTGTAACCAATAACATCATGATTAGTAAAAATGGACCATAACATCAGTTGATAAAAGTACAAAATATATTTTACACTGTTTTGGGGGGTTTCTCAATGTATTTTTGAAGTTTTCATAATGGATATTCTGCATAACGATTCAAAGAATTAAAAATTTCATGTGTGTCAAGTGAAAATTGGGTGCAGTTGTGAAACTAAACTTAAATCAAGCCTGAATCGAATTTTAAGAGTAAGGAAAATTGACTAAGCTGAGCCTGAAGACTGCCTATCACTCCTAAATTCAGAGCAGAAAGGCACCTGGCTGATAGTGTGTTAACAGAAGTTCATAAAGAGAGAGAAAAGAATAGAACAAACTTAGAATAATTGCTTTATGAAGTAAGCAAAGTAATGGAAGAGCAATTCCTTTAGGTAATTTTACACATAATTTTAGTATAAAAGGATATTTTACTCATACTACTGTTTCTTTACCAATACTAATAAGAAAAACATATTGATTTTAGCTGCCAGCCCTGGCCCATCATAGTGCTACAGCACAGCTTTCCCTAACACTGCACCTGGGGGGGAAAAAATCACTTTCCAGTCTGTTTCGCAAGGTGTGTGTTTCCATCTTGATTCCCTGAAAGTCTATCTACTGCACTGGTCAAGAGAAACTCCAGTTGCATGAAGATTGAAAGCCTGCAGCTTGCACCTTTGTTCAAAATTAGCTACAGAAGACAAGCAATGCAAAGTCTTTTGTGCTCCCCTCCCCCATCAAAGGAAAGAGGAAAATGTCTTGGTGGAAAGGTTAGGTGGTGAACAACGGCTAACGTGAAGAAGCAGCCCTGAGTCCTAGATGTCCAATCCCATGGCAAAGCTGGGGGGAAGAAATGTAAGTGCAAGGGGAAAGCTTGTGCTGCTCTTCTGTTCTTACAGTCTATCAGGGGATGTAGGCTCAGTCTTTGCTAACGCAGCGGGGCAGTATCAAGAGCCGGCACAATTTTCATTGCCTTCCATCCACCGTTTCCTTTTATGAGAATCTATCCTGTAATAGCTAGTAATTTTTTTTCAGCGCCTGCTATATATACAAGGTGTGGTGATAAACAGTTCGCTAATTAGCTCTACTCATCATAAAAACTTGAGAGGTAGGTAAAATTTTCCCCATTTTACAAAGGAGGAAATTGGAACTCAGGTTAATAACTTGCCCAAGATCATGGTTACAGAACTGGGATTCAAATGTAGTTCTTTTAAACTGCAGAGTTCGTGTTTTTCACTATGTATCTGCCATGTCAAAATAATGAAAAATAGAAAGACCCAATTGCGTAATAATAAGGGAATCGCTGAAGTTATAGATACCTACCTGATGCAATAGGCTGTGAGGAGAGGGTGTAACATTAATGGGAAGATGCTTATGGCCCAGGAAGAATGGATAAATATATACCTACATGTAAATATATGTGTATGTGTTTGTGTATTTGTGTGCGTTTTGTTTTATCTCAAGATAAAAAGTCTTTATTAGGGAAAATTTCTTTGAACCCATTTGCAGGAGGTACAGCCTGCGTTTTCTGATTCCCTCTTTTTCTGATCCCCTCTTTTTCATTCTCTCCCTTCACAGGGGCTCTCATTCCGCTTTTCTGAGTCTTTCCTGCTTTCCTCTGCAGATCAGACTTTTGCGAACTGATCAATATGCACATGGTATAAAACAGCTATTAGCCCCGCATCTATGTATGTGGCTTTGTAGTTTTAGGACCCACCATTCTTTAACTAATTACATTCTCTGGTCTCAGATCAAATTCACTATCTCACAAAAGAAAAAAAAAACTCTAATAATGAGCGGCTGTTGGGCTGGCTCGACCTGAGTCAGGTATGCAACCTTATGTACATGAGGGGTAAGCTCCTGGCCCACTACCCACTTAGAGGTGCTATAGAAACAAGGTTATCCAAGTAAAGGGCATAAGCGAGACAGGCAAGGGGATTGACATAATAAAGCAGGAGGGAAGGAAATACATGAAAAAATGAAAACAATAAATCTGGCTCCTTAGACTTAAACTTGAATGAAGCTTTGATGGTATTGTGACCTGTGGTGTTTTATGTCATTTTTGTACTTGTATACTATTAATAATAAAGAACTTGGTTATCAAAAGAGAAAAAGAAAAAGAAAAACATGTTGATAGTAATAATGCATTTTACCAAAAGTTTAGTTATAACTGATTCTTTTACATTTGTAAATATCAGAGAGCTCTGCTGCCTTCACATCAGTCTGATTTCTTGATGCTAGCTACAAAATCAAGCTGAAATCAATAAATAGGTTTTGTAATCTGGA